AAAGTAGGCACAGACCTTTTTTTGCTGATCAGGTTTTGTTAGTGTTTGTATATTTGGCCCAAGACAACTCTTTATTCTTCTAATGTATAGCAGAGGGGAAATACAGGTTGGACACTCCCTGGTTTAAATGGCTGGAAACAACTGGAGGGTGGTTATTACCCTCTATTTCCTCCTACCCCGACATTAGTTAGTCCTTTATAGTTGGTCACCTAGCAGTTGTAATCCTCGGGGTTATTTCTATTAATTATAGTAAATTTTCTGTCAGCAAAGCACTTAGTCCAAATACAGAATGGTCAGTGGTTGTGAGGCTTGCATCGGAGCTCAGGGCATAAAAAGGGGCCACTGCTGTTGTGTGGTCTGAGCAATGCAGGGGGGGAGATAGTGGTTGGAAAGGAGAATGACCCAGTAGAAGGGAATTGGCAGGCCTGTCCTGTAGGGCAGAAGGAAGAACGGAAAAGGGGTATTGGAGACCTGGATGTGGCTCCAAGGCACTAACCTCCACTTCCCTTAGCAATCACGCTCTCTGAGTCAACACTCATGCCTTCCTATGCCTTCTCAGTTTCTACCCCTGGGTCCTGGACTGTCCTGTGCCAAGCATGTTGGGAGGTGAGGGTAGAGGCAGACCCTGCCCCACTCGCAGGAGTGGGTACGCAAACCTGTGGGCGTCCCACATAGAAGTCAGTGGATGACCTACCCTTCAACTGCACGACTAGCTCTGGTGGCCTAGATGGGGCAGTCTAAGCTCCACAAATAAAGGTTCTTATGGGAGTTCCAACAACCAATGATAGACGCTGAGGCTGCCCCGCACACCAGCTGCTCGGCCAGAAGCAGCCCTGGCTCCGGAGTCTGCAGAATTGTGGTGCTGTTTGCATTCTCTGCTTCCTGGGGGGAGCTGCCCAGCTGTGATGAGGCCGGCGTTCCACCGGAGAGTGCCACCTGTAGCATCTCAGAGGGGTCTTAGAGGGGTGTGCAGGAGAAGTCTGTTATCGTTTCAGTGAAACACACTCCTAAGGAAGAAAGTTGTAGCCGCCAACACTTCCAGTAACATAGCTCGGGAAAGGTCTTTTTTCAGTGCCCACAGTATACACAGTGGGTGAAGAGATGAGTCTTCCTGCGAGCTATGCTGTAAGCAAAGGGGTGGGCAGAAGTCTCGGGGTGTGGGCTCTTCTGTTAGTCTACTCTGCTATTATGGATTCCCTGATGCTCACCCCTCTCTCCCTGACGGTCACTGATGCTGTCCATAGAGACCTCAGGTGGCCTCCCTCCAGACTGAGGGTTTCTCTATTGGGTGAAGTACGGTATAGGGACTGGGAGACTAGCTCCAGCCTAGAAATTTAAAAGATAGTTCACTCAGTTTTCAAATGTATTGGCAGAAGGCCGCTGAAAATAGTGGATGCCCCTCAATGCTGACAATGGCTGATACTAATAAACCCAGAGAATGTGGGGCAGTGAGAAGATGGAGACGTTATGTTTATTATGCGATAGCACCAGCTGAACAGCCCCTCCTTCTGGGTAGCACAGAAGTCAGAAGCAGAGAGAACTGGGTGTTTCGTTCAGTAAGAGCTTTGGCTAATCCAAGACATTTTGCTCCTTTCCACGGTGGAAAGACACAGCATAATGGCAAGAATCTGTGACACCGAGGGTTGCCTCTTTGCCTGCAGCCTGTAGCGGGCGGGGCTGCTAAGTCAGAAGAGAGAGCCTGTGGACACGGCCCAGGGCTGTGACGACACACAGCAGAGCTGAACCTGGAAGGGTCCGCGACAGGGATACTGTTCGTTGGGCGTGCCGGCCAGCACCTGCAGCTCCAGCTACTCGGGAGGCTCAGGCAGGAAAGTAGCCTGCGCCTGGGAGTTTGAGGCTGCAGTGAGCTGTGATGACACCACTGTGCTGTAGCCTGGGTGACAGAGCAAGACCCTGTCTTAATGAATGAATGAATGAATGCACAAGTGAGTGTGAGCTGGGCAGAGGAAGTCAGACTGGACTTTACAGGACAGAGAGCAGCCCGAGGAGACAAAGTGGTGCCGAGTTCCCAACAGCCTGTCAGGGCCGGAATCCAGCATGTTGTGCCACCCACTGACGTGACCTCACCTGGTGTATTATATTCCATTCTTGGCCCCCAACCACTTCCCCCTATTCAGAGGAGGATGTTTGTGAATTTGAAGCAAGAGGAATAAGAAAGTAATTTAAAGAGCCTGAGGAGGAGAACACACACAACTCTTTGGTTATATAATACTTGTGATTCCCAGCAATGGCCTATTCCTTTCTGCATAAGGGACAAAGAGATCGGGATCTGCTGAGTGTGACTCTGGGGGCTTTTAGGAGGATGGGCTGAGAGAGTGAACTTTCTGCTGGTCGTTTCTGAGGGCGTTCTTACTGGTCTCCCTCCAGGTTAAACAGCATGGACATTTCTAAGAGAACCAAAAAGATTTTATGCCCACTGCCTCGTCAACGTGACGGGAGATATCTTATTACCTACCTGCATGTAACCTGGAGCAACCTGGTGCTTCAGTAACGGGGTTGGCAACAGCTACTAACCTGGCTTCCCTTAGCATAATAGTATGATAACAACCACAGGTGAAGCAAGCCCTTGACGAGTATCTGCCATGTGCCAGACGCTATGCTCGGTGCTTTACATATATAATCCAGTTTAATCCTCACATTCCCACGTGCACTGCAGCCTCTATATATGAGGAAGCTGAGACCCAGGGGTCAAATAACTTTACACGATTCTAACTCAGCCTCTGTCGGATCCAAAAACCTCTTCTCACTGTGCATTAAAGTCATGCAGAGAACTGTGGAGGTGCTCAAGAAGCCAAGAAAAGCAAATATGAATTTGAAAGTGTGGGGAGATTACCAACAGCAGACATGAAAGCTCTGAGCCCCCCCCCCCCACGCCGAGGGTTCAGGATAAATGCCACCAGTTTTTCCTTCCTAGTTCAATTGAACACATCCCTGAAAAACAGAGAGGGTTGGAGGGAAGTGCCCAGATTGGGGAAGGGGATGTTGGAACGGGTCAGGGTGGATCGGATGGCAGAAGCCCGTGTCTGTCTCTCGCTCAGTGCCCGGACCACAGAGAGCAAGGTGCCCTGGTGTACGTTACATTGTTCTGGATTTTTGGGTACCTGATGGAGGAAAGTGAGGCAAGATAAAAGGCGTCTGTAGTGTTGGAGTGATAGCATCAGTGTTCTTTAATAAATACCTGGGGTGGCTTGAAAGTGATTCAAGCACACTTAAAGTGTCAATTAAATGAGGCACAGAGAGAAAGATGAGTGGGTGCGCTGACATCTCCTGCTTAGATGGGGGGTGTCCACACCCCCGCTCTATCTGGGGTATGAGTAACCTCGAGCCCTTTCCTTCTGATGTCCCTCTGAGCCTGCCCAGCATTTTAACTGTCTTGGGTGTGACAAAGCACTCCTTCTGCAGCTGACATCAATCACGGTAGCCTCCCCTGCTGCGTCCTTCATATTTCCTTTATTTTCTGGGCTTTATGATCAATGGCTCCCTTCTTCTACTCCGCTGAGATGATGGCTGAAAGCTTTGGTTTATCCATGCACATTCTTAATCAATATTAGTCCCCAGTCCCCCCATCTTGTGATTTATGCATTTGCCTGTCTTCTGTATTGAGTCCTGAAGGCCTGGAATTTGTGTAAATAGGCATAAGTAGAAGGCACATTTGGTGGTATCTCAAGCTGAAGAATTTTAAAGCCCTCAGAATGGTCATACTGAACGGTAGGAAATACACCCCTCTGGCCAGACCAATAGCAGGCTCCCTGCTATGAAGCACACAGAGCACAAAGGCTCAGGTGTAGTAATACTACTTTGAAATGTTCAGTCAGTAGGTGATCTGATCATTAAACTATACTGAGGTTATTGTAATTGTTGAAAACCAGGCAGCATGACAATGATAGAAATTGTGTCTCTTACATTTTATATCTCACCCAGGATCAAGTTGGGAGCTTATTCAGTCTGTAGGCACTAAGTAACAGGGACTGCACTGAGGAAGGTGTTTGCTTCTAAAATTGCTTGGTGAGGAATTTGAAGGCAGCATGGACAGGTCTTTAGTGGAAAATGGAAATTTATATGATACCGTTGCACAGCCACCTGGAAATTACCAAGGCCCTTTAAAAATCAAAGTCCTACTTTTGGCCTCTGAAACGCGAACAAAATAAAATGCTAGCAGTTGTCATAAAATATTATTCTTTTTTGGAAATAGGTAGTGTTACAGAAATGAGTAAGTGAATACCTGAGAAAAAACTGAATTATGTTTACATTTAGGTATATGGAAATAGGTGAAGGGGCACCTAGCCATGTGGAGCTATGTGAATAAGGTGCTTTCAGAACTTTTGATAAAATTGTGATGGTTTTTAATTGCAAATCTCCCCCATTTTAGCAGAGAGCCCACACATGTAGGAAAGATGAATTGTCTTATTGAATCCAACAGTAACCTTTTTTTGGTCCCTTTGTTTTCTTTGTCTTTTCAGAACTCTCTTTGCTCACGAGTCACCAAAAAAGCCAAGATGTTGGTCCTGCTGGCTGGTATCTTTGTGGTCCACATCGCCACTGTCATTATGCTGTTTGTCTCCACCATCGCTAATGTGAGTAACGTTCTTTTGTTCATTCATTCAACCTTGGAGGAATCCTTTAAATATGCGTATCAAGTCCTACAAAAGGAGTTTAAGCCATAATTCTTGCCCTTTGTGAACTTGCAGTTTAGTTGGAAAACAATAAACACACACTTAGGAAAAAAATAAACACACACTTGGCACTTCAAACAATTAAATAATGAGAGGTGAAAAGGGAGCATTCTCATGAGTGAGCCTGCCAGGGCTGTAGGCATTTAGCGGCTGGAGGAGGATCCAATGGGGCTTCTACCGACTCCAAAGGACCTTGAGTTGACCCTGGAGGCGCTTGAGGTGAACTTGGAGGACTGATAGATGGGCGAGGTTTCCCTTAGTGAAAGACAGATGGCAGAAAGAACATAGAGATGCATTCCAGGTGGGGGTGCTGGTGAAGCTGCTTATGTGGGAAGGGCCAGCTTTGGTCAGGGCACAAGAGGCTCCAAC